AGAGAAACATGAGAAAGACACCCTAGGGTAATGAATCCATATCCACACGTTGCACTACAAAGACCTCGTGCCATAACAATAACAATATCAATATAACTGCATGATAGAAATCTTGTGCCATCATAATAACAATATCACAATAAACACACAGTAAAAACCTCGTGCCTTATCCAAAACAATACACACAACATGTCCAAATGTACTATAATCATATCAAATATGAAATATCATTTCATCTCTAAGGATGCATATGCTTACAAAATATCAGTAAGGTGCACAAAAATGTAATAAATAAATGTACGGATGTGTGCTCAAGATATAAGCATGACTATTGCTAAATCAAGTATATCAACAATTTCACAAATCGTCTGTGCATCTTAACCAATTAAGAGGTAGTAATATTAAACATAATTACTAGCATGAATGAATAAGCTCGCGTAGTCATACAATTGACTAAAATATAAACCATGGAAGACACACAACCAAATAAGGCATAAGAAAATCCTAAAGTCTAACTCGGTCATGAATAATACATAGCACCCGTGTACACGCTTATTACCTCGCATATACGTCAATTTCACATATTTCAATTAAGCAAATAAGGTCATATCCTAAGGTTTATTCCCTCAAACCATGTTTAGGCAAGATATTTACCTTATCAAGCTAAATCAACCCTCCAAATCGTCTTCCTTTTAGAAATTACCTCCAACCCTCCCGACTATCCATAATTTTGCGAGTCCAAATATATAAGTTGACTCCAAATTGGGTTTCAATTTCATGTTCAAAATTTCCAAATTAACTCTCTTAAGTTCATACTAAAAACCACAATTTTTGCACTTAAAATTCTCAATTTGAAATATAATCACAAATGAGTAAAAATTACTTACCTTGTTGCATTGTATGAAAATCTTATGAAACATCGCCCTGCTGCAAGTCTAGGGTTCAAAATATAAGAGAAGAGGCAAAACAATCCCGAAATTTCCACTTAAATACACTGCCCAAGGGTCCTCTACACGATCGCGTCTGAGCCCTTGCGACGGGAAGCACATTTGACCAGTGCTTCTACACGATCGAGGCTCCCCCTCAGCGATTGTGAAAGCCTACCGTCTGACCCCCGCCAACACTTTGCGTATGCGAAACCCAGCCTGCGAACGTGATGACCAAGCGCCTGCCATCCTATGCGATAGCAACACCCTTGCTCGCGAATGCGATGCCCAACACGCCCAACACTCTACTATCTTGACCCCTCTTCTGCGATCGAGATGAAGAACTAGCTCCGCCACCTTCTTTCTTTGTGATCGCGAAGCACTACAACTCAGCAGCAGTTCAACTGCTACAAAACCCAAAGGGATGGCCCAAAGCCATCTCGAAACATACTCGAGCCCCGTGGGATCCCGTTCAATCTTCCAATAAGTTGATATACTTCATATAAACTTGTCACACACATAAAGAATAACAACAAAATGTAGAATTGAAGATCATATGCATCTTTTAACTTTCAAACTTTTCAACTTCGCCGATTGCGTCTGAATCATACTTAGACATTCCGGATTACAACCAAACTTTGCATACAAGTTCATATAAGATTTTTTCGAAGCCGATTGGGCTGACTGCTCGTTGACACGAAGGTCCACTATGGGTCTCTTCATTTTTCTTAGCTCGAATTGCATAATTTAGGCCTTAAAGAAATAAAACGCAGTAGCCAAGTCCAGAACTAACATGGATTACCTACCTTCTATAAGGATATTGGTCTTCCTCTTAGTCGTCCTTATTACTGTACATAGAAATATCAGTGCACTTTAGCTCACTTTGAATCCTGTAATTATATTTTTAAATAAAGATATCCAAGTGGATGCTAGGTGGTGTTGTATTAAGAAAAAAACATTGAATCCTGTACTTCATGCTCGCATAAAACACGTTGAGCTTGACTATCACTTTGTGCGAGAAAAGGTTATTCAAGGGGTCATAGTGACTAAATTCATTCCTTTTGATCTACAAATAGTAGATGTCTTTACGAATCCACTGTCCAAAGTTCAGTTTCGCAGTTTCCGGACCAAGGTAGGATTTGTTAAAAAAACCCCAACTCCAACTCCAACTTTGGGGGTTTGGGGGGGGGGGTGTAAGACAATCTGGTTGGTTGCTAGAGTTTTGTGTAACTTATTAGTCCTAATCTTATGCCTTAGTATTAGTCCTAATCTTATGGCTTGTTAGTATTAAATCTAGTCTTTTGGCAATGTATCCGGGGGCGGATCTATGTATAGAATTAGGGATGATACGCCACCCGATCGCTTAGATATAATAGTTTATATATACTAGTATTTTCCTCGAAAGATACTACATAAACAACGAGTGGCACTCCAATTAGAAATGACTGTAGCTGCCATGGTTGAAGTCTCAAAGTTTAGATAGAAGGCCTAGGACCGAGGCCCAATATTGTGGTCCAAATTATTCCTTTGTTGCTTTTTGCCATTTCCTTTTTTTTTATGCTCCTTTTGTTAATTTTTCTTATTTTCTTCATCTTTATTATTCACTTTTTTCGTACAATCCATTTTTATTAATTATTTATATTGTATATTTGCTTCCTTTGTCTTTTTTGGATCTTCAAATTTTATTTGGATGTAATTTTAATTATTTTTTCTTTTTATCTATCTAATGTTATTGATTTCAATTTTTTTTAGAGTAGTGCATCAAAGAGATAATATAATATTAATCAGCTATATGTAGATTGAAGGGGCATATCACATATTCATTTATGCATAAAAAATCTTCTAAATGGATTGAATCGAACCGAATTAATCTAAAACGGATCAAATCGAGTGAATGTACACCCTAATTCAATTTCCTTCACTAGTGGTCGGTCTTTTTTTAAATAGAATTTTCCAAGTATCCTGGGGTGTTGTATTTATTTCCAAAAGATAGGAGGGGATGTGAGCTTTATCTCCAAGGATTACAACGCATTGATATACACCCAATAGAGGTTGTTACCGAAGTATGTGCCTCTCTTAAAGTACAAGACATTTATTACTTAGTTAACAAAGATATTTGCCTTGTCATACTTAAGCGTAACAGTAGGCATATGGTATTTGTCAAGCACAAAGGATCCTTTAGTTCCTTACGGGAGTTGTTGGAAAGAAAGGTATACTTTGACTTCAGAGTTAGTAGTCGCCAATTTTGCTAGAGAATCTGCTACTTGATTTGCCTCCCTAAAGCAATGCGCATGGCTGAGAACCAGGCTAATATTGGCATGGTTCATTATTTGTGAAGTATCCTTTATGATCTTCTTCTACCTATAATTGTTGGTATCACCCTCATTGAGCATATTCATCACCAGCATTGAGTCCAATTCAATAGTGAAGTCTTAGAACCCATTTTGTACACACAAATTAATGCCAAACATAGCAGCTTGAGCCTCTGCCATATTATTGTTGCTGCACTAGTGGTCAGTTTGCATTAAAATAGTGACACCTGTAGCCATCAAATCCTGGATCCGCCTCTGTGTATCTGATATATCTGTTATACATACAATAGGCTTGGAAGACTCCTAAAAGGAGTGTGTAAATAGGCTTGTAACATGCAAAAATGATATACAGAAGAAAGACTTCAAATTATTTTGTGTTCTTGCTATTATTTTCTTTACGGAGGCCATATATAGATCATACAACACGTTCAAATTGAGGCCAAGGTCAATATTTTACGTGTCATATGTTGGTCTTGATTCAAAACAAAGATAGGCTGGGACGAGAAGCTCGTATTATCAAGAGTCCGCGCACCGGACGGGAAGAGTCTTGTCACATAAGTTTCTGCTAGCACTAAAAGTAGACAGACACACAAAAGAGGGCATTATCCCATGTTTAGAAGGGAATGTGCATAATCTAATCTTAGCTGCAGCAGCCATTTGGCCAGTTTAAATTGCATGGGATAGCATCAATAGTGGAAAGATAAAGACGAGGAGGAATTCATTAAATTCCTCTCCTTTATCTATGTATTTATCTTTTGTTGGTATTGGTTAGAATTAGCTAGGATAAGCCCTTATCATGATTGTTTCTCGTGCTATATAGATTTCTTGAAGTTCCCCTTTAGTTGTTCAATTTCTTTTTTCTTATGCCTTTTAGCATGGGATTTGGGGGGCGGGAGTTTTTGTTTTTTCCTTTAATAGCAACAAATGTTATGATATGGTTAAGATCATAAATTTCAAAAGTTTGATAGCTACACAGATGTTATAATGTGTTTAAGACCATAAATTTTAAAAGTTTGATAGCTACACAAATGTTATATAATATGTTTAAGATCATAAATTTCAAAAGTTATCGATGCTTTCTTAAACACCGTGCTAAGCCAAACCATGTCATATAAATTGAAATTGAAGGAGTAATTCTCTGCCTCACAAGTGACAGTCCTCCCTAGTATATTTTCTTTCATGAAATACTTATGCCTTGTTTTTAAAAACCAGATGAATCAATTCATTTTTTTTTCTATGTACACACCATCCTTAAATCCAAAATCTTCCCAATGAACAAATCCTGCAGAAAGTTCCATATATTCATTATAGAAGTAGTATTTCTTACATGTAAACTTGAGAAAGAGTTAGGCTATCACACCCTTGGGCTAATGAAGTAGAAAGGAACATAAAAGGTGTTATAGTAACAATTTTACTTCTCATATGGTAATGAACCTATTTTTCACACTCTAAGACAAGTTTCAAAAGAATGCAAGCAATAAAAATATAACAAACCCCCACAATATTTCCTTCAAAATTAGTTTTTGCTTGTTTTTCTTGGTGGTTCAGATCAATTTAGTGCACAAGGGTGGGAACTAAACGATCACGTGCGAGTTTGGTCAAACCCAACAGTTTTAGTCTGAATCCATTAATTATATACAAAAATTAAATTCAAAACTCAATACTAACACATAATTTGTTATCCTAGAATTAAAAACCCATAAAATTCAAATCTTGACTCTGTCTCCGTATAGTGCACCTGCTTCTGTAATGAACAATCCATTTATGAACCACAGCAAGATGATATTTGGCCAAGTTGACCACCTCCAGCTCCTGCATCTGGTTGATTAATATTGATCGCCACAGACTGTAACATCACAACTATTAGCCTCCAATATTTGCAAAAAAGAAAATATACATTTTTTTCCTTTTTCATTTAGGGAAGTAATTTCTAATAATCTTAATCAAACTAAGATTAAGTGAATACCTCTACTCTGAAGTCTGTGTCTGAAAGCCTTTGCTTTATTTCATTTGCTATTGAGAAGAAAACTTGTTCCACGTTAAGAGTTGTTTTTGCACTCTGCAGTGAAACAATCTTTAAGTACATGCCACCTACCAGCAGTTCTTTCAACATGTTATGATATCATACTTACAGTTTCAAAAAATTTAATCCCATACTCATCAGCAAGTGCTTGGCCGGTAGAAGTCGGGACAACCTACAAAAAGTTTAATACAATAGAATATTAGATTTGAGAGGCTCATGCTTAATGTTCATTAAAACACATAACGCTAAACGCAAGCTGACTCGAATACCACATTTATAAGAATTATAAAAAAGGTTATGTCTTGCATTTTGTAGTTTCTTTTTTCTTTTGGGTGTGTGTGTGGGGGGAGGGGGTAAAGTGATTGATAAAGTTGGACCAAACAAAAATCTACCCTTTTACTTTCATCCATGTCAGCCTTGTTTCCAACAAGGATTTTATTGACATTGTCTGAACCATGCTGCTCAATGCTACGAATCCAGTTCCTAATGTCTGCAAATAAGAGAGACACAATTACAACTCATCCAATAGGGGAGAAAGGAAAATGTAGGAAAACTAAAGGCAATCTCCTGCACAAGCAAGTGATGGCAGATTTATCTGGACTCGTCCACAAAATTCTTCACCGTCAAAAGAAAGTTGAGCTCAAATCAGAGCTATATTTTAGAAGACTAGAATTAGGGAAAAGAACTTACTGTTAAATGAAGATTCATCGGTAACATCATAAACCAACAATATGCCCATGGCTCCACGATAGTAAGCTGGAGACATTTGTAAGCAGAAAAGGAGGAGGAGTCAATAAGTACACAAATAAAACCACAATGCAGGGATCTAAGATGAATTTTTTTTGTAAGAAAAAGTATCAATAAAGAGGAGAAGAATGCATAGATATCTCCAAACTACATTTAATCTTTTAATAACATGATATATGAGATAGTATATTATAACCAACACTATTCTTATTGGTGCTAGGGGATGAGGGGTCATGTTGAAATGTAGGAATGTGTGATTCCCATGATGGAGAGCGGACCGAGCGGACCGACGACGGTGAGTCAAAGATCGAATAGGACTGACGGGTTTCTGGACTAGCAAGTTTGTGAAGAAGGGGTGTACATGACACCTTAGACGAATCATATATTAGAATGTGAGAGTAAAGTGGAGAACTTTATAAGGCATAATACAAGTTCACATAGTATGCGCGCAATTTCGGGCTCGATGATGGCATAATTACAAAGGACAAATCCGTGAGATCTGTGGGACCAAACCAGATAATACATGTCATAGACTTGGATCATGACAAGATGAACAAAACAGGGACAATGACATGACAAACAATAATATTTCTTAGGACCAAACACGAATACTTTTTTTTTTCTGCTGAACAGACATAAAACTTAATTACCAGTAGTGATTGATTTGAATCGTTCCTGACCAGCCGTATCCCAGACTTTAAGTTTGATCCTTTTTCCCTCGAGCTCAATGGTCCGTGTTTTAAAATCAATCCTGACAATTCAAAAATAGAGTTATTCAAAATTGAGAAGCAGTCTCTAGAACTATAACAAACCATAGTATATAACTCTCAAAAGGAGAGAACTTAATTACCCAATGGTGCTGATATAATTTGTGGTAAAGGAACCATCAGAAAAACGCGAAATAAGGCAACTCTTACCAACACCTGCGTCAAAGAAACAAGTTTTGCGAATTAAAAATTCTAAAATTTAGAATCCATAAAATTGAAATCTCTGTCCCACCTCTGCATAAGGGGAAGAGCTAACATAAAGAACAGTGTTGATAATAGTCCCTTTCACCTAAAAGTAAAGTTATACCTTAATCTAAGCATTATTTCATACGAATATAACATGAAATAAATTCTAGTGATATTAGCCAAACCACTATTTAAGTATATTAAAATTCCTGCATCATAATAATCCATGCATAATTAGTCTGTGAACCAAACGACATCTTAGAAGATTGTTGCAAAAGCCAAGTTATGCCAAGGGCCAAATATGAAACAAAAGGTCATGAGAATGCAACAAACTCTACAAAGAAGAAGCCAATTTTTAATCCTTAATACAGCGAAATATCATCAAAACACGATAGTCAAAAAATTTCGAAGTTAATCCTATTGAAAACAGATGTTGCAAAAAATATTTACTCAATCAAGTCACTTAAATTAAAGGTAACTTATAGCATTAATTAATAGTCTTAAGAAAATAGTAAGTAACCTGTTAAAAAGAATATGTGATAGGTCAAAAGGAGAATATAGAATCACTTACCGCTATCGCCGATCAAGAGGAGCTTTACGAGGTAATCATAATCTGCTCGTGCCATTGCTGGTGGTGCGGCCATTGAATACTAATCTTCTAAATTTTCAACTAAATAATATCAACACACATATGCGCACAATTAATCACAGAAATCAACTTAAAGAAAGAACAGCAATCCCATCCATATTGCACTAACTTCAACTCGAACTATACATAAAATATACTCCATCACTTCCAATATTATGTGACAATTTTCACTTCTCGAGAGTATTTAGCTAATATATAAAAGTGCCACATAAATTAAAATAAGGGAGTATTACAATTTAAAAAAAAAATGCATGAAGTAACTTTGCAGTAAATATATGCATGAAGCGAATCACATTAGCAAAAACATACTCCACCACTTATCAAATACTTACGTTATGCAAAGAAGAATCTCCTGAACAAAATAGTTGCAACACAATAGGAAAACTAAAAAAGATGGGTTTTTAAGTACCTGTAGTTTTGAAACAAGAGCAAAAAGTTTGGATGAGACTTAAGAATGAAGACAAAGTAGGGTTTTATATGGTTGGAGATTTGGAGTTAATAAAAAAAATAGGGTAAAAGTAAAATAGAATTTTGAAATAATAAGAAAGGGAATAATTTGAAAGAAAAATAAGGTAATTATGACTTTATTTTTTCTGGAGGTAACGATGACTTTACTTATGAAAAAAACAATGTTGTTGTTTATCTTTCTTGCTTATTGTGCTTATTTTTTTCCTAATTCCATTGAATTACTTGTTATTATTACTTAGACTTCAACAAGAATTACAATTCAAATTGTTTATCTATTTCGAATTTTCCTCGATACTGACGATAAAAAGAATGCAATCAAAAGAATTGCTTGCCAGGATGATTAAACCCTTTTTATGCATCGGTTGCGATCCGTGTTTAAGTCGTGGCACTTTTCTATTTGAAGAGGCTATACATGATTTTAGAATACATTTAATTTAACTATGCATTAGTACATAGAATATTGTTTAATAATTTTCGGGTGAAAGAGATTTGTATTTTGGGATATAGTCACGTTTATTCCAACATCTTTTTGGGTTTTATAGCGATGAATTATTATACACCTATAACAACATTTAACGTTTAAATATTATTTTATTTTTATATATTAAAATTATCTAAAAGATATTTTTTTATGTTTTAATGATATATTTAAATTTAAAATCTCAAAGGATATGCATATTTCACAACTTAAAAAGTCAAAAAACCTAATATATTATTGATAAATCCATAAGTAAATATTTAAAGATTTAAACTCTAAGGCACACATTTTAAAATTACTTAAAAATTAAATTCTTTTAAGATTGATGGAAGAAATCTATTGTACTATATGCAAATATTTTAATGAAATTTAAATCTTTAATTATGGAAGTATATAATCACGTAATGTTCTTTGACAGAAGTGTGTTATTAGAGTTTTAAAATATTTGGACAAATTCTCTAGATTATTGTTGGTAATCCTAGAGATTCTATTTTATAAAGATAATTGTTATAGAGTGGTAATTTTACAAAAAATATACTATTATAAAGAAAAATATTATTGTTATAGTTAAAAGCTGTTATAGAAAGGTAAAATACAACATAAAAGATCGATTCCCAAAAAAGAATTATGTGACGACCCGATAGGTTGTTTTGAGTACTAGCTTCCTTTTCTGTGTTGCGAGACCTCTCATAGTTTTATTTGATGATTTATGACTTCTGTGCACGGTCCGTGTAATTTTTCGAAAAGTTTATATGTGGCTAGAGTTGACCACGGTAAACATTCTTGGTAAACTTTCTTGGTAAACGACCTTGGATCGGTATTTTGACGATTCCGGTAAGTTTGTATGATGTTTTTGGACTTGTACGCATGTTTGGTTGGGGTCCCAGGTGACTCGAGACAGTTTTAGCACATTGTGTGAAAAGTTGGAAAAATGAGTTTTGAAGATGAAAATCTTGAGTTTTAATGATCGAATCTTGATATTTGATGTTATTTTGATGATTTGAGCTAGATAGAGAGTCTGTATGATATTATTACACCTGTGCAAATGTTAGTATTGGAGCCCGAGGTGTTCGGGTGAATTTCGGATGCTTTGCGGACTGATATTTGGCTTAACAGGATTGCTGGTGTTGTGACTATGCAGGTCTCGCATTTGTGAAGACCTATTCGCAAATGCGAGCTTCACATTTGCAATGTCAAGCTCAGATTTGCGAAGTTGGACCGGGAGTTGAAGGCTTTGCTTTTGCGAAGCATACATCGCATTTACGATCTGGAGGGGCGATAATAGCAGATACTGGACAGGTGATTCGAGGTAGAGCCGCATCCCGTTCACAGGCCTTGAGTCATTATCTTACTTCTATTGTACTGTTTCTATTTTATTTCAGACAGTATTTTATTTCTTTTATAATAGTGTATGTAGAAAACTCTAGAGGCTCATTCTTGTAACTCCAAGTCTTGGGATAGTTCACGTTAGATATTAGCTTTAGACTTAACATGTTTTTTTCAGAACTTCTTTTATGCTATATTATTACCCTGTTATTAGCTATTTATTTCAGTTCTTTAATATTTTATTTTATGTGTTGGCTTGCCTAGCAAGCGGCATTAGGCTCCATTGTGACCCCGATTGGTTGGAATTTTGGGTCGTGACGAGTTGGTATCATAGCCCTAAGTTGCATAGGTCTTACGAGTCATGAGCAAGCTTAGTAGAGTCTTGCGGACCAGTACGGAGACGTCTGCACTTATCATCTAGAAGCTATAAGGCTTTAGGAATTTCTTTCTCTATCATGCGACTTTGTTCTATCATTAAGTTTGAATCATTCTTCTCTTATTCTCTTACAAATGGTTAGGACGCATATGACATCCGCAACGGATCAGGAGTCGGAGACCCATATTGCATCCACTACCAGGGGTAGGGAGCTAGAGGTAGAGGCAAAACTTAGCCTAGAGCACGCGCAACGACACCCGTTGTTGAGCCTAATATAGAGCAGGATGAGGAGATCCCTGTACCGACAACGCTAGTAGGAGTAGCTCAAGTCCCAGAGGGGTTCATTGCTACCCCAGTGCTTCAGGACGCCTCAGTCCGCATGGTTGTCTTGATGGAGAGTATGGCTCAAGCCAGTATTTTCCTTGTGGTACCAACCATTTCTCAGGCTGGGGGAGGAGCACATACTCCCGCTACTCATACTCCAGAGCAAATGGCTCACGGGTATCATACCCCAGTAGTTCTACCAGTTGAAAAAAGAACCTAAGATACGAGCGTCTTCTCTTAGGTTTCTTCCTCCCGCGCCCGTCGGCGCCCGACCCGCATTAGAGGGGAAGATTAGCAAAGCGGGAAAAGAAAGAGGGAAGGGGAGCATCATCTTATTCTCTTTGCGAGAACTTCCAGATCGTAGAAGCATTCGGAACGGGCTCCGCGTTCATTTTATTGGCAGATGGATTCTATCCCCTATATCGAACACTCATTCCTATCTATTGATAGAAAGATCTTCGTCAAATACCAGACTTTGTTCTCGCTCCCTTCCCGCACTATTCCTCCCCACTAAAAAGTGCGATTGAGAATCTCGAGAACCTTTCTGTTCGTCTGTGCCAAGCGCTCCGTCAATCCTTTTTCCTTCTAGCGAACCACGGGAGTGCCTAGCACCCAGAGGAGCAAAGATCATTTTCCTTTCAGGGTAAAGAGGCTCTCATAAAAAAGGGCTGGCCCGTCACAAGTCTAGTTCCTTCGCGAACAAAGTTTAGAATCAATGCCCCGCGAAGACAGACGTTTGGAAAGGTTCTCGAGATTCTCAATTTCTCTTTTTAGTGGGGAGGAATAATGCCCTCGAGTTTCTAGACATATCAAACTTTTGCTCGGATCGAGGCTTCCACTCCGTCCTAAGACGGATCAAAGAAGTGTGGGCGGTTTAACTTATTGTTGCTACACAGCCCAGGGAAAGACCCGTTATATCAGTTGATGATCTGAGATGTTGGACAGGTTCACCAAGTTGTTGTCCCCTCAATTTAGCGGTATACCTTCCGAGGACCCCCAGGACTTAGACAATTTCCATGATATTTTGCACAACATGGGTATAGTAGAGTCCAACGGAGTTGATTTCACAAGTATTTCAAGTTCATAGTTCTGCCAAGAGGTTGTGGAAGGTGTATGTACTGGGCAAGCTAGCGGGATCACCTCTTCTCACATGGTCTCAGTTCTCATAGTTGTCCTTGGAGAAGTTCATTCTCTTCCCTCAAAGAGAGGAATTCCACAGTTAGTTTAAGCGCCTTCGGTAGGGTAGCATGACCTTTACTCAGTATGAGACTAGATTTGCGGATTTGTCATGCCATGCAACTATCCTGATCCTTACTGAGAGGGAGAAGGTGTGGAGGGGAATATATGGTCTTATTTATGTCATCATACTTCAGATGGACAGAGAGACCATGGATCAGATTTCTTTTACTCTGGCAGTGTATATCGTAGGAGGATCGAGCGCATTAGAGGCCAAGTTAAGGAGACAATATCTGACAAGAGGCACTGTCATTTTGGAGGATTTATTAGTACCTCATCTGGAGGCAGGGGTTCTTTTGGTAGAGACCATCTTATCAGGCCAGTTTATCAGCTCTTTAGGTTACCCATGGTACTTCAGGAAGTCACAGTCCTTATGGATTTTGAGCAGCTAGTATACAGTGTACCTCCAGCTCCGGTTAGTTCACCACCAATACGAAGCTACTAGGATGGTTATTTAGGTCCACAGGGACAGTTCTAGAGTCAGCAGTCATGTCAGCTAAGGGCTTAGGGTTCAGGCAGTCTGAGGTGAGGGCCAGTGAGTTAGAGGTGGAGGCCAGTCAGTGAGAGGTCATCCTAGATGTGGAGGGGAGGTTGGTGGAGCTCAGCCCCATTGTTATGGATTTCCAGCTAGATGTAAGGCGGAGTCATATGATGCAGTTATCACAGGTATTATCTTAGTTTGTCATTGAGATGCTTCTGTGTTGTTTGATTTAGGTTCTACATATTCTTACATGTCTTCATTTTTTACTTTGTATTTGAGTATGCTTCGTGATTCTCTTGATGTTTC